ATCTGCTGTCCGATTTTTCTGACCTTTCCTTGGTTAAAAATTCATATCGTTTTGTATACAACTTGAAATTGATCCCCGTTTGTTTTAAAAGAAATTAGATCGATATATGAACATAATATATAAAAATAATCTCCAAATTATTTTTATATAATTTATGGTCAATTTTCGAACCTACTGCCAGATTCAAAATCCAAACTGTTTTCTTTAACTTCATTCTTAGGTTCTTCATCAATTCTTACAACCAATTCTTTAAAATCACTTAACTCATCAAAACCCATAAAACACAAGAATCAAAATCCCCTTCATCAACTCAAGATGAACTTGAACATAAAACCCTAGTAATATTCATGTCAAAATGTAGAGAATTGAACGTAGAACATTTTTCCTAACCACACCGACTCAAATTCTCAAGAAATCGCTTCAAAATTCAAACTAAAAATGCTTACCTTTCTTGCTTGAAAGTGTCGGCCCTTGGAGGAAGAAGAAGCTGAAATGTTCCCCCAATATTGTTATTCTAATATTAATTATATCTATCACATGCTAATATAATATCCTAATGGAATTTTTTTATTCCATTCCACAAGAATTTTCATTTTTGCCCTTAATGAATCTCCATAATCACCATAAAATCAAGTCATCTGATCATTATCATATTACAAAGTCAAACATGAATTATTTTGACTTTTATTTCCGAAATTCACCTTGAATTTTCAAAATTTGCGTTTTAGTCACTAAATTCCACTATTTCGATTAAATCTGAAAAATTGATTATTTCCAAACCAAATTTCTCTGATCCAAAATATTAAAATAATATTTCCAACCATATTATAACATCCTTCAAATTTTTGTAAAATTTCAACTCAATCTGAAATACCGATTTTCTTAACGGCTTTGACACTTTTAATTTTTCTTTACCAAAATTCCAAATCCAAAAATATGATTTCTATAAAAACTCCATTCTCAAGAGTAAACAATCTATTTATGGAATAAAATTCTTTTTAGGAAATTATCACTTAATTCCCTAAACCTTTTCCAAATTTTCTACTTTGACCATCAAACTTTCCAAATTTTCATTTTGGTCATTGTCTAAATTTTTGGGGTATTACAACTTTACAGTTCAGCAAGGTGTAATGAGGTGGAATGGAAGATGCAAGGGCACTCTTTTATACATGATTTTAGACTACTTCAGTTGGGGGGTAGTGATATGGTATTGGGTGTGGATTGGATGAAAATGTTCAGTCCAATTTTGATGGACTTCAATAACATGACATTGAGTTTTGTGCATAAAGGGGAGCAAATTATTATACAAGGTCAGCAACATTCTAATTTTCTACAACAGATTTTAGGAGCTACCCTATTGAAGATGACAGTTTCTGACTCATCTATTTTGGGACATGTAATCCTATTTACTATGTCTAATGGTTCCAAGACTATTCCTACAGCTATTCAATCTCTATTGGACCAATATCACTTTGTTTTTACTGAGCCTACAGGCCTGCCACCTACAAGGAATCATGATCATGCTATTACTCTTAAACCTGAAGTTGCTCCTATTAATTTAAGACCTTATAGATTTCCACATAATCAGAAAGTTGAAGTGGAAAGGCAGATTGCTAATATGCTATCATCCTCTATTATTCAGCAAAACAAAAGTCCATTTGCTTCTCCATGTCTTTTAATAAAAAAGAAGGATGGTACTTGGAGGTTTTGTGTAGACTACAGGAAGTTAAACAACATGACATTGAAAGATAAATTCCCAATTCCTGTGGTAGAGGATTTATTGGATGAATTACATGGAGCAATATATTTTTCCAAAATTGATTTGAGGTCTGGTTATTAGAAAATCAAAATTAAAACTGAGGATATTTATAAGACAGTATTCAGAACTCATCAAGGCCACTATGAATTTATGGTAATGCCCTTTGGGCTTACTAATGCCCCTGCTACATTCCAAGCTCTAATGAATGAATTATTTAGTTCATTTCTTAGAAAATTTGTCTTGGTTTTTTATGATATCCTAGTTTACAGTACCTTTATGGCAGATCATGTTGTTCATCTTGAATTAGTTTTGAAAATCTTGAAAACTAATCAACTATTTTCCAAGATATCAAAATGCTTCTTTGGACAGACTCAAGTGGTATACTTGGGCCATATTATCTCAACTTCTGGAGTATCTACTGACCCTTCTAAAGTTGCAGCTATGAAGGATTGGCCTGTGCCAAAATCTCTAAAATCTTTGCATGGATTTTTGGGATTAACAGGCTATTACAGACTATTTATAAAGGGTTATGGTACAATTAGTAAACCCTTGAAACAACTGCTCAAGAAGGACATTTTTAAGTGGACTGAGGAGGCTTTACTGGCTTTTGAGAAATTAAAGTATGCTATATGTGAGGCCCCTGTTTTAGCATTACCAGACTTTGATAAATGTTTTTATTTGGAGATAGATGCAAGTTCAGGGGGAATTAGGGTTGTATTATCTCAAGATGAAAGTCCTATTGCTTACCTTAGCAAGGCCCTTAGTCCTAGACATGCTGCTCTCTCTATAAATGAAAGAGAGTACCTTGCTATTTTATTGGTAGCTTCTAAATGGAGATATTATTTAGAAGGCAGTCCTTTTGTTATCAAAACAGACCATGAACCTCTCAAGTATTTATTGGAGCATAAATTAACTACTTCTATTCAAAAGAAGGGCCTGACTAAACTGTTGGGATTGTATTACACTATTCAGTACAGGAAGGGAAAATCTAATGTAGTTGTTGATGCCCTTTCTAGAGAGTGGGAAGATCAAGGTCAATGCTTAGCTATGAGTACTACTTTGATTATTCCTAGTTGGGTGCAAGAGGTGGAACAATCTTATAAAGAGGATAAAATGGCTGCTGAGTGGATCTCTATTTTAACAGTTAATCCTAGTGTTGATCCTAGGTGGAAATATTCTAAGGGTATCCTTAGATTTCAACATAGAGTTTATATTGGGGGCTAACGGAACTCTAAGGTTACAGATTATTCAAATCTTACATGATTCACCCCATTGTGGTCATTCTGGTATACAGGCCACTTATCAGAGGATTAAGGCTTATTTTTACTGGCCTAAGTTGAAAGCTATGGTAGCAACTCATATCAGGGCTTGTACAGTGTGTCAACAAACAAAGGTGGAGCATATTGCTAAGCCAAGACTCCTACAACCAATCCCTATTCCTCATCAAGCTTGGGAGGTAATTACTATGAATTTTATAGAGGGTTTACCTACATCTTTGAGGAAAACTGCATTTTGGTGGTAGTTGACAAGTTTACAAAATACAGTTATTTCCTAGCATTTTCACATCCCTATTATGCTACTGATGTAGCTAAATTATATTTGGATACTGTCTATAAACTTCATGGCCAGCCTAAAATGGCCATTTCTGACAGGGACAAAACATTCACTAGTCTCTTCTGGAGAGAACTAATGAATTAGTTAGGGACTAAAACATTATTTAGCATTGCTTACCATCCAGAGACTGATGGTCAAACAGAAAGGGTGAATCAGTGTTTAGAATAATATTTAAGGGGCCTATTTTTTTTCAACCAAAGTAGTGGGCAAAATGGTTGCCTCGTGCAGAATGGTGGTATAACACAACCTATCACACTGCCCTAAAGCTTACACCATTTCAGGCTTTGTATGGTTATAAACCTCCTACTATGGTTTGACAGACAAAAACTACAGTGCAATCTATTAGTGATTTAATGAATATCAGAGAGAATATTAGACAGTTGGTAAAGTTGTAGTTAGAGCAGGCAAGCAGCAGAATGAAACAATAATCAGACAAAAAGAGGACAAAGAGGGTATTTGCAGTGGGAGATAGTGTTTACCTGAAGCTGCAACCATATCGCCAAACTTCACTAGCTCTGCGAAAGAATTTAAAATTAGCAGCAAAGTATTATGGTCCTTATAAAATTATTGAGAAAATTGGTGAAGTTGCGTATAAATTGGACTTACCAGATTCTTCTAGAATGCATCCAGTTTTTCATGTCAGTCTCCTGAAGAAACATGTGGGTGACTCGGTCATTTCTTCAACTGAACCTCTTGCAATGAATGATGATGGTCAGATTCATGTTGAATCGTATAAGGTTATGGGGAGAAGAATAATAAATAGACATAACAAACCTGTAACTCAGTTGTTGGTGCGATGGAGAAACCTTGATGAAACCAATGATTCGTGGGAGGACTATACTGTTCTCAGAGGACAATTTCCAGAGTTTAATCCCTGGGGACAAGGATCGATTCCAGTGACAGGTATTGTTATAGTTTGAGGAGATGAGCGGGATGAGAATGATGATTGTGAAGAAAGCGAAGGAATTGGGGAAAGAAGAAGCCTAGGGTTAGGGATTGAGGATGGAGAATTGGGAATCGAGGCTGGAGAAGGAATGTAAAGAAGGGAATTAGGAATTGAAACTGAAGAAGAGGACAGGATGCATTTACCCTCTGAAGTGGAGCGTGTTGTTGAACCGACTTAGAAGAAATTGGATCTAGTGGAGTTTCAGACCCAAATCGAGTGGAAGCAGCCCAAGATTGGTGGCCCAGTAACCTGAAAGAGGCAGATAAGATCAGTTTGTTATAACTGTTATAGATGTAATGCATGTTGGCATGTTTTACAATTTACTTTTTTAGCCCTGTAATTAAATAAGATTGGTTGAGAGGCATTTGATTCATGAGATTATGAATGAAGTGTTTTCTTATTCTCTAAAATCCTTTCTTTTCTATTTCCTCATTCTCGCATTCTTCTCTAATTCTCTTGAACTATAACACATTGCTACAATTATTTATATTAACAATTTCATGTAAATATTTAATTACTATTGCGTCTGCTTTTACCAAAAAAGAAAAAAAGAGAAAAAGCTTAAGCAATCTAATATTTTGAAATAATAATTGTACATTGACTAAATCGAAGAGTACTCTCTCTAATCATCAAGAACGCTTGCTTACATTGCGAAAAGCTAATGCTTGTTTTGCTGCACAGGGTTTCATTTCGAGATCATGACAATTCTGATTTAAATGTTGCCAATAATAGTCTGGATCTCAGGAATGCAGCCACCGAGAATCGTAAAGTTGTAATGTTGGGCTATTGTTAATATAAAAGATCTCAACTAGTTTATTTTACAATTTCCATGTCCTGACGAGATTGTTTCTAGCTGAAAAGTATACAAGTTTTTATTGCAATTTGTAACTGATATTATTATGGATTTTTTTCTGAATGTTTTACACTAAATATATTGTTCTCTTTGATCTTTTCTTCCACTGTTTACTTTCCAGAACTATCCGTTTTCGACATGCTAATTAGTGATGAATCAGATGTGAATTCAGGGAGAAGGCTGGTTCTTGAAGCTCATGTTGCATTTTCAGTTGAAGGTATGATCTTACACGTTAACTGTTGAGGGAAGGATTAAGGCAGTTGGTCATGTAGAAGTGGGTTTTCAAAAGAAACTAAAAGCAAAGTTATGTGAACACTGTTTTCCATGACATTCCCTCCTTTTATTTCATATTTATCACTGTTTGAAAAGAAGAGTTAATTTTACAATTGTCTGTACATATAAATAAAAGAACTGTAGTAAGCCAAAAATTGAATACTCTAGGAATCTTCGGAAGATAAATGGATAACTTCTGAATAAAATAGTAGCAAAGAAAGTGACTAGTGTCTAAAATAGGGGATACTTCTATTTCAGTTATCCTTACCCATTTAGTCTCGATTGGTTAGCTAGCGCATCATTGAAGATGGTATCTCAACTTCAATTAATTACTTCATTTCCTGTATGTTCTCAATATACTGATGCATATTTTGGTTTTCAACATCCTAATAACATGGTATTGCTCAAAATTGTTTTGGTTTATCAGGTTTAGGTAAAATCAGAACAGACTCTCCATTGCACTCCCCAAAGCAAAAGGGCAGGTAATGAATAATTTGCAAGATTTCTCATATTCTCAATTGATCGCTTGCTAGATAATTGTTTCTCGGTGCTAAAAACAGTTGGTTTCAGTTTCCTGGACAACTCAGTGCCATATGGTTTCTATGAACTGCATACTTCATGAATCTATTTTCTATTTAAAATGGTACTTCTATTTACAAGCAACAATTAATTGATTACCTTAATTAAAATCTGTGGTTTACCTATATCGTAAAAGAATGGAATATGAGATTTCTCCAAAGAAAATATATTTTTGGTTCCAACCTGGATTCTTATTGATGGATAAATCTGATCATACTCCAAAGTGCGCTATTTAACTGATAAGATACTATTTAACTGGTGGCGATCCTTCACTGTTCTCAATGAATATAACTGATCCACATAGAAATTGGAAGCCAAACCTCTCCAGTTTTGCTGAAAACATGCCATTTGACAGCCTTTCCAGCATCAGAGAGTTTTCTTTTGGTGACCCTGACGTTTCCTACAACAAAAGAGAAGATATATGGGATGGTAAATTTCCTTTAGTTCTTTTTTTTCATGAATCATGATTCTTATTGTTCATTTTGCACATTACAACTAATTCTTTGTTATCACCACTAATGCTTTCTCTTTTTCCATGATCAGATCCTTCTCCAAAGTGTTTATCACCAAAAGTTGGTCATGAATTCACAACTTCAGTTGGGGTAAGGTATGAAATGTTCCCTCCAAAGGTACATGGGAAACTTGGCTTTTAATTTGTTGTTGCTGTTGTTTTTTTTATCTCACCTAAACACACAAACACACATAAACACACACATACATATAAATAATAGTAATTTTCTAAATAGTAAAGTTGCTTTCATACAGTGGGAGGTATAACCCATTTAAAAGGAATTATGATATTAGAGATTTGCCAGCCCAACCAGATTGGCCTCTTTTTGAGACTGATGATGCAATGGATAGTTTGAGCTTGTCGAGGTAAATTATAGGAACTTTTTGTTTCAAGGTTGGTTTGATGGTCCTACTTCAACTTACATGTTTCCTTTTTTTTTCTCTCTCTAAAACTTTGGCAGTGAAGAATCATGCTCTTCTACTGCAGGTTAAGCTTGATTTCATAAATTTCTTTGGCAATTTATTGTCATTTTATAGTCTTTAATGAAAAACTCCACTTTTGAACCTAAAGCAATCATTTGAAATATTTAATTGCAGAGAGGGATGAAACAATAAACAGTTCATTTCCAATTGTAACGCCTAGGCAGAGAAGAAGAATAAGCAGTACATTTGGTAGGACCAGGATGGAGTATGATTTGGACAATATTTTTGCCTAGGAAACACATTGCGAAGACATGGATAATGTTTATATGAGGGCACCAGTTCTTCCCATGTCAAAGTTCAGCAAGCCAGCAAGCTGTTGTCTCCAAGGGGAAATAGGACCGTCTCAAACATGGTTTCTCAAGGAAGGATGCAATTCAGTTGATATAGATTCGGACTTCAGCTATTCCGATCGCACCCGAAATGCTAACCTTCCATATTTAGGATCCCAGCTGTGGGCTGAAGATCCTGTTGGTGCATTTCATGTTCCCAAACTCAATCTTGATGACAAATCTTGCTTTGATAGGCCTAAGCACAGTGAAGCTATCCGCTGTTCACCTTTTGACTGTTTCACCTCTGAGAAGTTTGCTTTTTGCCAACCATTTAATCATACAAATGCTTATGACTCAAGAAGACAAGATGTTTTTCTGGATTTGTCCGATGCTTGTCGGCATAGAGAGACTGGATTTCCCGATTTATCAGTACAAGGAAGATTCAATGGAGATGATAAAAGAAGATCAAAATTCCCACCAGACAACTGCAAACAGTTCGAATTTGAAATGGATAATTCCCTTTGAAATGATTCATTGTTTTCAAAGGAGCATATAACAATGGATGGTTTAAATCCCAATGACAAGAAGGAAGAATGGTAGGAAGCAAAAGAGTTATTATGACATACTCTGAACTCATCTTCCCAGATTGCCATCACATTTTTCCTACCTACCTCTCGAGTAAGCGGGACTGAACAGAAGGTATATCTTCGTTTAGCATGCAAATACACACACACACACACTAAATCTTCAACTCCCATATGCTGCCATTAGATGTTTGCTTGATGTTCTGTGTCCTTGTATAACGTTTGAATCAGAACTCACTGCAGGAACAGAAATTGAAGGGCCAAGGTTGAAGAGGGAGAAGCACAAATAGAGGAGAGAATTAGGTGAGGATTAATGTAAGCAGCTGGAAAGGAAAACATTTGATTATGCCTCAACTTGGACATGATCATCATCAGCAACATTTTGAAGAAGGACCGGTTATAATAAATACAAATATAGTTGGAGAATGGATAGCAAGGATTGCTTTGTTTTCTGATTCTCGATAATCGATACAAAACCAAGTAGCAGAACATGATTAAAAGGTGACACTTCCTTCAATTGTCTAGAATTTAACTAGGCTCTCTATTACTATTTGCTAATCCCAGCAACTAACTACATCCACCCATCAATGTGTTTATTTTTTATTTCACCGCTATTGATGGCCTGATCCTGTGGAAGGGTGGTTGCCCCGACTAAACCCGACCCAACCCTTGCTCCGGATGTTTCTTGGTACAGTAATTGCAGCTTTGATCCACCGGTTGCATAGTTTTGTTTTGTCTTTTCAATCATCATGTAATTACAATACTTTATAGTTGGTATTTGGAAACTTTTGTGCATGCAAAGGAGGAAGCTCATTTGCATATACGTCTCCGCGTTGGGCTGTAGAATCGCTTACTTTAACAGGCAATGTTAGATTCTATTCATCTGAGTAGTATTTGGATGATTAGCTGGGAAATTTTGAGTAAAGCGTCGTCGTAGTTGATTGTAAGGAATAAGAAGCTTGTGTGGTCATTAATAATTATTTAATCTTAACCTTGTGATTGTGGAAATGTACACTTTAGAAAGAAAGGGAGGGGGGGGGGATTACGATATAAATTTAGATTTTTTGGTGGTTCTTATTTGTGTTAGATTTGTTTACTATGAGATATATTTTTTTTTTTGCTGAAACATACATTAGATTTACGTTCATGAGGTCAAAAAACACTAAATTAATAATTTTTGGGTTCAACAATCGTTGTTAATGATGGTTGATAGCAATCGGTTGCAAGAGCTTTTGGTCAAAATCAAGATCAAATTGATAACTTTATCTAAAGTTTAAGTATCAAAATTATATTTTATCTAAATTTTAGTGTTCAAATTGGTATTTTATCCAAAATTTAGAGGTTGAATTAAAAATTCTCATTTTAATAACATATTATATTATCAAACTCTTAGTGATCAAAATATAACCTATTGATACTGTAAATATTAAAATATAATAAATTAATAACATAAGTGATTAATATATATTTTTAATGATCAAAATATAACTATTGATACTATAAATATTAAAATATAATAAATTAGTAACATAAGTGATCAAAAAATATATATTTTTGTTATAAAAGAAGATTTACAATCTTACAGCCTTAACACGCCACGCTAATTGCTGACAACGAAATTAAAATATCCAGGGATTAGCTAAAATGGTTCAAACATTATGTTCGTCAGACGATTTGTGCATTTATTCTCTTCTCTCAAAGTATTTCTAACTTCACAGATCTAACATTGTCTATTGAATGCAGTCGCTCATAATCACGTTGTCCAGGTGATCCTCGGTTCGATCGCCATTAAGGAAGTCAACCTCCCATTTGACATCCATCTCCTCGATCACATTCCTCGCACCTAGAGAGTTAGCTAAAAGCATTCTCTGTCTAGCTCCTCATAATTACGCAAGGCTAATGCTTGTTCTCCAGATATGTAGCATGAAATTACCAGCAGTGAACTGTTCTCATCAGGTATCAAGCTTCTTACTACCGCTAGACCAAAACCCATTTTGCATGCTCCATCCGTATTAAGGATCCAAGTCCCTTCGGGAGGTTTCATCCATCTCGCCTAATGGTTTTATTTGATGACAAGTCTATAGATGGTCGTTAACGCTGCTCTTGTGCCTCTTGCTAGTTTCTGGGCATAGTGGACCACTTGGCTCAGGCTTGCCCTTCTATTAGAGAACACTACTTCCTTCCTCTCCTTCCAGAGACCCCAGATTGCGGAGATGAATAGTGTACCCCATTCTAAACCATTCTCAATGTCTCTGTCAAATCGATTGTTCCTTTAAAGACAATCCTTGAAGGCTCTTGAATTAAACTAATCGTCTTTCTCCTACGCTTTGAATTCATTCCAGACATATTTTGCAGAGCTACACTCCCTTTGGATGTGATCTATTGACTCTATTGTATTTTAGCATTCTTTACAACTCTCATCCTGGGTCATCTTCTTCTTAACACGATTCTCGTTTGTGTTTAATCTGTTGAGCATACATAGCCAAAGAAAGAATCTAATCCTCTCGGTGGTTTTGATTTTTCAAACCCAGTTCATGTTATCACTAGTTTGCCCAGTCATGGTCATTCCCATTATGACTTTTCGGCATAGGTGATTGTGAATTTGCTCTCTTGTTTCTTCATATATAAGATTCTGGATTTTCATGAGATTCTCATATTTCTCATCAGTGATATAGTGGGCCACCATTTCATTTCTATTATGATTTTCCATCAAAGGATAACTTTTAACTAGAGGGGCTTCTCTTACCACCAGTCTTACCAAAACTCTATTTGTTCCCCATATCGGATCTGTCACTTGCATCCTTTCTCGATCACTTTTCGGGTGCTCAAGATCCCTTTTCATGTTGCGTCTGCACCTCTAAGAAGCACACCTACGTTAAATACTTATCTCTAAAAACCTTGCACCATAGCATATCCTAATGTTTGTATATTCTCCAACCGTTCTTGGCCACGAGGGCTAAATTCATCGACCTGGTTTTCCTCAATCTGAGCCCCATTGACATTTTGCTCTACATGTTTTGTCCCTGCTAACCAAAAGGTCGTGCTTGTAATCAATGACGCCACCCCAGAGGAAATTTCAGTTTAAGTTATCGATTTTGTTACAAAATGACATCGAAAGGATTGTAGTTTGCATCGCATGGATTGGGATCGTAGTCGTAACGGACTGTATCAATGTTCGCCTATCTACCTTTGAGAAG